GGGTGACTGAGCCTATAAACACGTCGGAGGCATCAACCAGCACGAGACCCTTCCTGGCTAGGGAAGCCTCAGCCTAGGATGAGGAGCCCTGGATCCTCCACATCGATGGCTCGTCTAACCAGTGAGGAAGTGAAGCTGGGCTAATACTCTACGGGCCTAGCGAGGTGAAGCTGGAGTACGCTCTTTGGTTTGCATTCAAGGCATTAAACAACGAAGCAGAGTACAAGGCATTGATAGTCGGACTAACATTGGCGAGGGAGGTTGGCGCGAAGCACGTCATGGTGTGTAGTGACTCCTAGCTGATCGTGAACTAGGTGAATGCGTAGTACAAGGATAGAGAGCCTGGCATGTTGGCCTATTTGGCCAAGGTGAGAGAGCTCTTGCCCGCCTTCCACTCCTGGTATATTCAACAAATACCGAGAATAGAAAACACAGAGGCCGATGCGATTTCAGAGCTGGCCAATGCAATCGACATCACGAAGAAGACCTGCCGCGACCTAGTATTGAGAGGGTAGCAGAGCAGGTCATCCCTGTGTTGACAGTAGAACCGAGCTATATGGATCCGCTCATCGATTATCTGCTCCAAAAGACCCTACCACCAGATTGCAATGCAGCTCGAAGGGTAGAGCGTTAGTCAGCTTGCTACGTCCTTATTAGTGAGTAGTTGTATAGGAGATCCTTCACGCTCCCCTACTTATGCTACTTGCGACATTCAGAAGCAAGCCAAGTGCTATACGAGATCGATGAGGGTCTTTGTGGAGGACACCTAGGAGCAGGGTGTTCGCCCAAAAGACGCTAAAGAAATGCTACTATTGGCCTACAATGAAGGTGGATGCACTCGACCTCATCCGGAAATGTGATAATTGCTAGATGCACGCCAATATACTTTACCAGCCTGCCATTGACCTATGGGGAATAGACATTCTTGGTTCGTCCCCACTAGCAACCAAGGAAGAGAAGGTTCTTGGTTGTGGTGGTTGATTACTTTACGACGTGGGTGGAGGTCGAGCCACTGGTGACAATCATAGCTTGAAATGTACATAACTTCTTTTGGAAGAAGATAGTGTGTAGATTCGGACTCCCAAAAGTGTTGATATCCGACAATGGAAAGCAATTTGAAGACATCAAGTTCTACAAATGGTGTGCCAAGATGGGGATCTAGTAAAACTTTATTTCGGTAGTACATCCATAGGAAAACAGACAGGCTGAGGGGATGAATGGGGAAATCCTCCGCAAACTCAAAGCTCGGCTAGAAGCGTACGATGAGGAGGTTGTCATCCCTACTGAGATCAAAATATTGACCTTGCGGTTAGAAGCATATGACGAGGAGGCCAATGACGATGAGCTATGGATCAAACTCGACCTGGTGGAAAAGTACCCAACCTGGCCTATATCTGGACTGTGGCCTACCAGCAATGAGTAGCTCGGTACTATAATGCCCAAGTCAAGAGACGCCACTTCCGAGTTGGCAACCTTGTACTTTGGAAGGTAATGGTGCTTGAGCTTGATGTAGGTAAGCTAGGCCCAAACTGGGAAGGTCCCAATAGAGTATGGCGGGCAATTGGTGAAGGAACATATGAACTCAAAATGTTGGAAAGGAGGCAAGTAGCTTGTGCTTGAAACGTGGACAACCTAAGAAAGTACTACCTATGAGCTCAAGAGTTAAGCATTGTGACTTTAGTTAAACAATCAAAATTTTCACTAATTATGGAAGACCACCTGCCTCGGTGGTCAAGCCGCTATGTGCATAGCACACGTCGGCCTAATCACACTTCGAAGGGGATTCAAAGGGAATGCCAAGTCGCTTTAAGCCTAAAGGTCCCCGGTCCCGACCTAACAATGACCTCGACGGTCTAACAAAGCCTAGTCACTTCGGCATATATGTAGTTTGGGTCCCTCTTTTATTATGCCTAGTTGGCATAGACAGTTCGAGTTATATCCCATACCATGCCTAGTCGCCTCAGCACACAACCTCAGGTTTGCCCCCTACTATGTCTAGTCGCTTTGGAGCTAGGCAACTCGGGTAAACCTATACTTAGTCTATTTTTGAAGTCTCATGTATTAGCAATGTATTGAGAATAGATAAATGAGAGGTGTGCAACAGGTGAACTTTCATTCAATCTAGATTGGCAAACTTTCATCGATATTGTCAAAAAAAGAGAGAAGAGTTCTTTAGACCGAGCTTGGAGGTTAGATGCAGTACATGTATTTACAAGGGAGGTCCAAGAAAAGAGGTAAAGTTTTTCAAACATCTCGGGGCTCCTCACCCCCATCACCAGTAGCAGCAGTAGTACCCTCCTCAGTGGCATCCTCCTCGACCATCTCCTTTCCGCAGCATCCACGACGACATCCTCCTCCTTGGCATCCTCGTCGAGTTCGTCTTCCTCCTCCTCAGAATCCGATTCTAGATCGACCTGGTCAGACATTTCCTTGGTGTAGGCCGAAGACTCGATATGCGCGGAGTTGAGGTTAGGACACACTGACTTCACCAACATCCGACAAAGTTTGAAGCCCTAACGGAAGGCAACGGTGCTGAAGGCTTGTTTCTCCTTCAACCAGCCCGACAAGGTCTTCAATTCCTCCACGACTTGAACCCTGGTGGCCTGAACCTTGTCAAGAAGTCACACCTTACATACAACAAAGCGAGCCTCCTTTTCTTGAAGCTCCTTCTCGAGCCTTGCATATCAAAGCTTTAGTTCCTTGGCGTAGCTCTCTTTAGTAGTCATATCATTCTTAAGCTTGTCAATGTAATTGATAGCTCACTCCACTCGAGATTGGTACTCTTGTGACACTGCCTCGACACTTTCAGCTCGTATCAGATGACGCTTAGATTACTTGACCAAGGAGTGGACTACGGAGTTCGCTTGCAAAGAAGAAGAAATTAGCTAAGTGTAAAGAAGCAATTCAGGGACAATACAACAAAGAGTTCAGAAGTTTACCAGCATAAGACAACACATGGCTTTGGAACTGAGCTTGCTAGACCGCAACTCAGACATGGTTTCCACTTCCTCGGGGAAGGCGACCTCCTTGCTCTTGATGAGGGCGGTCCGGAAGTCAATAATAGATCCCCTCTCCTTGGGAGTCTCCTCCACAGAGCTGGCCCCGGGTTGAAGAGGACGAGCTTCCGATGACTAGGCCACATCGGGTTGGTTCGATGTTCTCTCCACGTGATCTTCCTCGACCAGGTCCACAACTAGAACCTCCTTGGCTGCAAGCAGTACAGCCGGCTCGGAGATGGAAGTCCGAGGTGTGTCCTTGCGAGATGACCGGGGTGCATCCTTGCGAGACACCCTCCTCTTTTTCTTCTTCCTCATATCATCAAGGAAACCTAAAGTCTCGATGCCCAACATGTCACTTGCACGAGTAGCTTAAGAGTTATTAAACTAACGAATTAAACACCCAAGCCCAAGACAATGACCTACTCGAAGGATTCGGCCCAGCATGAATTAGCTTCTCCTCAATTAAGTAATCATCCAGCTTTAGATCGCACTCTACCAGGTCCCCGCATCCTAGCCTTCATGTCCTCACTCAAGTCTTCCTCAACATCTTTGATGCCTTTTCTCTAGTGTGTCGAGAAGGGCCACCCCTAGGGGTGATTATGGGTTGGGGTTGGGCCAGGCTTTGCACTTTGATAAGGGCTATAGCTTAGGCCCGAGGCCGGCCTGGTTCGGGGGTTTTGGGTCTGAAACATAAGCCCTAGCCCAGGTCTACACGGGCCTGGGCCGTTTGGACATGATTTTGGGCCAATGTCTTTCATATATAAAACATTACATATCTATAATATTTTATATTAAATGATAGAACCTGCATATAAACTTATTTTATACATTATATAATATAAAATATTACATATAATATAAATTATACATGTCATGTTATAATATTTATATATAAAATATCTAATCTAATGTAAAATAACATGCATATATATATGCATTATACACAAAATGTGCAAGTTTAAATATATGTGAGTCGGGCTGGGCTCAGGCCGAGCTTAAAGTATTAAGCCCAAGCCCAACCCTAAAATTTATAGGTCTGATGTGGGCTCGGGCCCGGGCTGGACCGGGCTGAGATGATCACCCCTAGCCACCCCCATATTTGAGGCTTTTATTATTTTAATCATTGTCTAATGAGTATATCAATGGCATCTTTAACATTTTTTGCTTTTTTCCTTAAAAGTGATATTTCCATTGTAATTTGAGGACGAAAATGGCACTTTCAATTCTTTAGGGTCTAAACCTAGTTTTGTTTGGGCAAAGTTGTAGGGTCATTAGAAATGTTAGAACCAAAATTATGATAAATGAGAAACACCATGCTCTAACTTTATGGGACCCACTATAATTCCACATATCATAAATTTGCACATACTAGCATTTGGCTATAAAATATTGATACGTGAAAAACCAGACGCCGGGATTCTTTATTTTTGATGAAAGGCGCCGGGATTCCTGGCAAGGAATTTCAATTCCTGGCTGTAGAAGAAACAAGAAAGCCTTAAAGACGAAGACGTCATTTTCAATCCCCAATATTAGAGATTCCCATTCCCCACCACCAGCCCTTCAATCACGTCACTTTGAATCAGTATAACACTGTTCAACCGAATACTTAGATGATGGAATAGTTCACATCAGAATCCCCACAGGCCAAAGGGGGCGCCCCACAATGCCCAACAGCACATTCCGACCTTGTATTGGGAGCATCTCCCGATGACGCAGACGGAGATGCTCCCGATACAAGGTCGGGATCAGCTGTGGAGCATTGTGATCACGAGCACATCATGTTGTCATGTTTAGCCATGCAATCATTTCCTACTCACAGGACTCAGGAGTCGCTGGGTCAAACCGGCTTGTTGCAACGCAACCCGTTTACCTGTTTTCAAAAAACTATTGTAAGTTTCTGGGGCCCACAGCAGGGCGGACCAATCAGCCATCGATTCTGCATTCTTTCTTTCCAATTTCCAAGCATTAGCAGTGGGCAGAGCTGGTTTTTATTTATTTATTTATATAAAAGTAATTTCTCCGCAGGTTCCCAATTTCTTCTCCGTTTTTCTGAATCTCAAGAGCAGAAGAAAGGCAAGAGAGGGAGGGTCGAAAATTCTCAGGTATGGCTCTTCGATTTCGATTTGGTTCTTCTCCCCCTCTCCCTCTCCCATTCCTTCCTTTTCCTTCTGTGCAGGCCTTCTTTTGTTTTTCTATTTCCCGTTGAATCTCTCTCTGAGACGATCTAGGTTTCGAAAACTAAGGTTTCGCGATGGCTTCCAAGCGGATCTTGAAGGAACTGAAGGATCTCCAGAAAGATCCTCCTACATCTTGCAGTGCAGGTATCTTCATCAAACGTCATGACCCTTTAACGAAAATTATGTTTTTGCATGATTTCTTGTCTTATTTTTTGATTCCTGGGTTGGGTTCTATGTTCTATCCTTTCCAGGGTGGATTTGGTGCTCGATCTGTGCATCTCTTTTGCCTGATTTGTAGTGTATTCTTATTGTTATCGTTGTTGCTTCTCTTGCTATTGTTATCATTTATGTTTTCTATCGTTATTTTATGTTTATCTGGTGATATCCTTCAGACTCTGGTGACCTCGGTGTAAAAGCTATATAACTATTGAGAGATGTTTCTGACTTTCTGATTGTTTTATAGGTTTCCATCGTAATGGGTTGATTTCATTAAATATACAAGTATTTGAATAGGAAATAAGGGCTTTTGATGCAATGGCTTCTGGAGAGAGCGGGGGTTGGTCTTTGAGCGGAGACCAGGGATCCTCTGGTTCTCTAGCTGCTATTTGGTTCAAAGGCAACATAGTTTTTCTAACTGAGTGGAGTAAATAAAGGGAGGAAAAACAAAGAAAAAACCCTTTTCCAATTTATATTGAAGTCCCCTCTCAAAATAATCTAATTTCTTTGGTTGGCACGCTTACCCTTTTGCATTCTAATTGGTGATGTTTTCTGCAAATTTTTCTTTTTTATCATTAGCTATTTTCTGCAACGTCAATGTTGCCTATCTTATAATTTTTTTGTCTCTTCTACTGTATTTGTCCTATATTTTATTCGATCAGCTAACTAGTCCAATGAATAATTTTTATGGTGCTTTGCAGGAGTTTTGCTATATAAAGTATGTCTTTATAAGTTGAGATTAATAATTATATGGTTCAACAACTAAATAGATACACTACGTTCATGGATGGGGATATTAGAATGGAACATGCTCATTCTAATATTCTGACAGCTGTTTGAAGTAGATTATTTTTTAGTTTTACATAATGAAACGTATTCATGGATGGAGTATTAGAATTATGGGGCATGGGGCCTCCTGCGAGAGTTTCCTTCTCCCATTAATTAGGTAAATTGAATGTTGGATGAATTCTGTTTGGGTAATCAATTCAATGTCAATAGGTCTTGCCTATTGAAATCAGATTTTGTATAATTACAGGAATCTTGAAATGTCTAGGTTGTGTTTGGAAATAAAGCCGATATTGGTGGGCTAAACATTGTTTCAGAAAAGTTATTACATCAATTTTGGTTTGACTTGATTTTAGGAAGGATGTATTGCATTATTTGTTTGTCATATATGAGATTTGGATATGGATACTGATATGGACATGGATATGGAAAATGGGGATATGATTCTTCATTTCTTAGAATCCAGGACATGGATATGGGGATGGATATCCCATATCATATTCTTATATCATGCTTTCAAATCTAGCTTTTCAAGCTAATTTTCATTTGACAAGACATATACAGATTTTTATGTACGATTTGTTAAACCATACTGTTCTACATATTTTAAAAGTGTTAATTCTGTCAGTACATATAGAAGTGTTAATATAGGATCCTGTGTTTTATTGTCTACTATCGTTTCCAATGCTAGTTCTAAGCATGAGTAGGTGTCTGCATATCATAGTTTTTCATAGTTGCATTAAATTCAAAGTGATGAATCTTGGCTCTTGATGAATTTTGCCCTTTGTCAAAATCAAAATGAAATGTCAAAGTGAAATTTTCATTTGAAGTTCTACTGAATTACTTAAAAACTTCTGTGGAAGACGTAATTCAAAAATCAGCTAAACATTGGAATATTGCGAAATTCTGAGAATTTTCTTTGCGATTTAAAATCATGTGTGCCCTTGGGATTTAAAATAATGCTGTTACATAAAAAAAGATGAAAAATAACTGTTTTTTAGTCACATGTTATTAAATTTTGTGTATTTATACAAAACATTAGTTGTTGATGACTTTCTTGACCTTAATGTTTTCATACATCTACACAAGGACATCAATTGTAAACAGCATCTGTAGCCTTTCCCAATTCTTTTAAATTTTATAAAATTTCCTTCAAATTTTGCTCCTTTTCTTAATTGTAAAAACTTCACATTTTTAATAATACACCTGCCTCTACCTTAGTTTCTATAGGTGTTATGTTTACTAGATTGAGCTGTCAGTTGTCTTAAAACTTATATTTCTATTAAAACCTGTATCAGTATTTAGTTTTGTCACTTTGTATAAGGAAGGGCATGTTTGTAATTTCTTTTTAAATGCATTAATATAAATATGAAAGGGTTGGCTGATCCTATGGTACCACACCTTATTTGATTTATCTCTATTTCTCATCTTCTTCCTCCCTTGTTTCTTCTCTTCAATCTTCGTCTACTCTTTCCTTAGTTGATTAGCTTATATGGTATTAGAGCATTAGGAATCAGATCAAGGGACTAGTTCATCTCTCTGAAATTGACTTTGTCAATGCTGAAGGAGGTCATAGTAGGGGTTTCAACTGCTAGAATTTAGGAAATAGTACTTTTCCCATATTTTGTCCATAGTGGTGAGTGTTACTATTTTTCCCATTTTTTTCTACTAAAATTCAGGAAATAATATTTTAGGGTTTTTCAATCATGGAGAATAGTATGATTGTGTTTGGTGATTGGGACTGATGGTGTTTGTCCCCCAACTAGTGTGCCCTGTGTAAGTTGAATGGTGAGACTGCTTTCCACCTTCAAATATCTTGCCCTTTTGTTAGTTTTATTTGGAATTGGTTTACTTCCCTTTTTGGGTGTAGGTGGTCTTCTCTTGACAGATTGGAGGGTTTATTCAGCTCTATTGGTATTAGTGGCACGAAAAGGAAGGGTAGGATCCTATTGAGATGTACTAGAGCAGCACTACTTTGGATTGTTTGGGAGGAAAGAAATGCAAGAATATTTGAAGGAAAAGAAAAATATAAGGAAGAATTGGCCGAAACAATAACATTGAGGGTGACACATTGGGCAAAAAGCTTGGAATTGTTTTTAGTTTTTAAGGTTGAAGATTTTTTAGGGTTTGGGGGCTTATTGCTATCTCTTCATCTATAAGACAACAGTACAGTTTTTTGAGGCATGGTCTTCTCCAACAGATGGCTGGAAGAAGCTGGACTTTGATGGGAGTTGTGTGGGTAATCCAGGCCCTGCAGGCATTGGGGGGGGGGGGGCGCAGTAGAGATGAAGATGGAAACATCATTGCTTTGAACTCCAGTCCTGTGGAGCAAGGTGATGTGGTAAGGGCAGAGTTTGTAGCTGCAGCATATGGGGTTGAGAAGGCTAAAGAGTTGGGTATTAATAGACTGATCATTGAGGGAGACTCAAAAACTATGATAAAATGGTTGCAAAAAGGGGAAGGGGTGACATGGTGTCTGAAGAATGAATTCTGAAGATTTAAATGGTTGTCAAGGGACATGTCAATCTAGGTGGGATGGGTGAAGAGATCTGCCAACAGTTCGGCAGATAACTAAGCAAAGCAAGGGGTTCAAAGAACACATGTTTTGGGGTACAACTGTTTTGGGTCAGCTTACTAAATTTGGTTTCTTTCACAACTTGTATCCTTAATTTTTCTAATTAATGAAAATCATTTCAGAGTTATTGATAAAAAAGGAGTGGGACTGATGGTGTTTGATTTGTAGTGTGTTTTTGGAGTTACACAAAGTGATCTTTTATTTTTGGGCCTAAGAATAAAATTTATATAAACTTTTTCTCTCCTTATTTTACCACCCTTGGCAAACTGGTTTTTAAAGAAGGAGCGTTTTCTGAGATTGGTTAAAGTGGGTAGATGCGGAGTCTAGTTTTCTGAGTCAGATATTGTTAGCATTTGATTGAAAATGGCTCACGACTCTTTCTCAAAGTGGCCTGCGACCACATCTTCCTCTAAATAGCCCGTTACCAATTTGGGAGAGCACTCTAATCTTTGGATAACCACTATTAAATTGGATGCTCTATTTGTTTTAGAATTGTCACAATTGGTGGAACTTTACACTAGTAGTGGGGGGTAAAGCTTGGTTATTTCATTGGAAAAACTAAAGGGCTAGTTGGGGGATGATCCATAGTTGGATGTGTGGGAGTAGGAAAATATGATTTAATATCTTGGTTATGAAATTCTATGACACCTCAGATTAGTAGGGGTCCTATCACCTATGTTCGTGAAGACTACAATCTAGATTTTTTTTTTGATGAATTGCAATCTAGATTTGGGATAGGGTAAATAAACCTATTCCCAAAGAAAGAATGAAGCAAAGATATTTTAGTTGAGGTAGGACATATCTTATTTGAAGCAAGGAGAAATGAGTGTACTTGCTTTTTATGCTAAATTGCAGGCTCTCTAGGAAGAGTTGGACTACTAAAGGGTTATCAAATGGAAAGGCGATGTACATGTTGGGTAGTATGAAGTACACAAAAATGAAGATCAAGTGCTTGAGTTCTCATGTCAGGGTTAAATTTGGAGTTTGAGATTGTTAGGATGAACTACTTGGTTGGAGTGAATTTTTCTGTTGATGAGGCCTATTTTGATATTAAATAGGAAGCTTCTAAACTAGAATTGGAATGTTTAGCCCTTGTTCTACTCCTAGGGGAAGTAGATCTTGTAGAAAGAAGACATACTCGGAGACATCAGTGTTTTTAAAGCGCAAGGCGCAAGGCGAGGCACACACCTTTTTGAGGCAGGGCGCACAATTTAAAAAAAATGCTAAAAATTAAAAAAAAAATAAAAAAATGCAAAAAAAACAAAAATTATAGAACATAATATTAATAAAAATATAAACTTAAGTTTTAAAATAAATGTTTTCAAAAACCTATTATCTAAAATTAAAATACATAAATATAATATGTAAAGCATATTCAAATGAGAATTTAAAAATGAAATCAAACATATAAAACATTTTCAAGCATATAAAACCCACAATCTCTTTTTTTTTCTCAATTGCATCAAGTAGCTAATGTGACATTTTACATTCCTAATTCTACTAGCTGCCTTTGTGCCACGCCCCTCGAGGCAAGCCGAAGCTTCGAGAGTCCACTATTTGGTAATGTCGTCCATTCATTCATCCTAATAAAATATCTTCTTAAAAGCAATTAAAACTATAAAATTATTATTTTTTGTGTGAAAACTAAGAATTTAAGACCCTAACATGGACTTGTTTAGGCTTGCCTTGAGGGGAATGGACGGGGTTTCGGGGGCAGAGCCCGTGGCCCAGCCCAGCCGCCAGACCCAAAAAAAAAAGGGAAAAGTGGCAAATTTTCAAAAGGCGCATGCCTAGACATTCATCTTGTGTGCTATGTGCAAACAACATTGAGTCAATGAATCACCTATTGCTGCATCACAAGTTCTCTTATGAGATTTGGTCTAAATTTTGGGGTTTGTTTGAGGTGAGGAGTTCCGTCCTGAATCAATGATGGATTTTATAAGGGGTTGAATTGTTGGAGAATAGGTCTAAGTAAAAGGAAAAGATTTGGTCCAAAATGCTCAATTAAGAGACTTCTTCTTAGGTTTCAAAGTGGTCAAAACCCTCCTTGCATCCCCTTTGATAGAATAAGAGCTAGAGAAAACTCTCCATTTGCGCTTGAATCTGTGAGCCTCTTAGTTTTTCCTAGAGAAATCATTTTCTCTGTTAACCAAAATCCTTGTGGTATCTTGTTCTTTCCCCCAAGTGACATCTTCATCAAGAAATACAAGGAAACGATCAGGAAAAAATGAAGGAAAACAAAATGGCTCTAGAGAAGAACCCTTTCCTTCTTTATTTTGGGAAGATACTTGGGTTGGAAACTTACCTCTAAAAGAACTTTTTCCTTCTCTTTATTCCATTTCCCTTTATAAAAAAGAGGTTGTCTCTAACTTTTTCTCCTCTAGTTCTCCCCTTGTCTTTGAATTAAGATTTTGGCTTCCATAGAGGTATGGGGGATGTTGAGTTTGTTTGTATTTCTGAGCTATTACTCTCCCTTGGTAATGTTTGTTTGGAACCTTTGAAGCCTGATAAAAGATTTGGGCTCTTGTTCCAAAAGGTTCATTTATTTGTGCCTCCTTTTTCAAGTCTCTCTGTTCTAATGCTTTTCCTTATACTTACCCCCAAAATTGCTATTTTTTGTTGGGAAGTTTACTATGGTAAGATTAATGCTTTGGACAACCTATAAAAGAAAAGGCCATTGTTGTGTTTATCCTCCAACTGGTGTTTATTGTGCAAAGCTCATAGTGAGGACTGCTACAACTTACTAATTTCTTGTTCTTTCGTTGCAGTTGTATGGAATTGGATGTTTGTTTTGTTTGGTCATAAGTGGAACTTGCCAACAGAAGTAAAATTGTTGTTTAGTCTGCCTACCTTTGTTTGGCCTACAAAAAGAGGGAGATTATGTGGAGATGATTCAAACTCAAGAGCAGCTACTTTGTATATTTGGGAAGAAAGGAATGCCGGAATCTTCCAAGAAAAGGAGAGAAGCTTTTTAGAAGGGAAGGGGTGTATCTTAACAAGGGCTATCCATTGTTTGAAAACCCTAGATTCTTTTATTCCTTTTCCTTTGATGACATTTGGAGGAGTTGGTCAGTAGTATCTAATACCTCCTTTAAGGAAAATAGAACTTTCATAGTTTGGTCACCACCTCTAGAAGGGTTTATTAAATAAAACTTTGATGGGAGCACTCTAGACAATCCTGGGCTGTCAGGTGTAGGAGGGGTTTCGAGAAACGAGGACAACATCATATCCTTTTTTTAGGCATTGTGGGAATTTGTGATTCTACAAGGGCTGAGTTATTAGCTGTAGTACAAAGGGTTTCAGATTGCCAACCAACTTGGGGTGGAGAATCTACTAATTGAAGGGGACTCAAAGGTGGTTGTGGGATGGTTATTGGATCTAGATTCTGCCATTTGGAGTTATAGGGATATCATAAAAAAGTTAAATGGTTTACATGGCACATGACAATTAGAGTCCAATGGGTGGGCAAGTCTACAAAAGCAATGGATGATTTTCTTGCTAAACAAGTGTCTTCTTGGGAAGTAATACTGAGAAGTTTTGTAATCTTTAATTTCGAGAACCTATAATCTTTGTTTTAGGAGAGAGGTCACACCTCGCACCTCCCCAAGGGATGCTTTTAAATGTTTATTCTCTTTGATTAATGAAATTATCTTTCAATTATCAAAAGAAAATGTTGAGTTCAATGATTACTTCTTCGAATCCATGGATGTACAAGTCCGTTACTTCAAGCATTTTGTTCAAAGAGAAATTTTACATGGAAAATTTGTTGATTTTGGTCATTTTATATCAATTGGGGAAGACATTGAAGTGTTATACTAACCAAACGTTAAAGGGTACTTCAATGTCTTCTCCAAATGATCTAAAATGACCAAAATCAATAAATCTTCCATGTAAAGTTTCTATTTGAACAAAGTGTTTGAAGTGCTTGAGTTGTGCATCCATGGATTCGAAGAAGTATTCATTGAATTCCATTTCCTTCTTTTCTAGAGCCTTTTTTTCCTTCATTTCCCCCTAATCTCTACCTTGTATTTTTTGGGATTTATTATCAGTTTTCTTAGAATATCAATGTGTATTTTAACTTTTCTATTGTATCCATGTGTTCCGAGGTGTATCCTAATGCATCTCTAAAAAATTGAGTTGAATATAGAATCAAAATTATCATGTGGACATATTAAATGGGATATCTATTCCCATATCCCTGTTGGGGATCTTAGGAAATGGAAAATTATATCCTTATGTCCTGTATCATGTTCATTTTGATATCTGTATCAATGCATCATCAATACTCAATACTGGGCAGCTACTAGTTCGCTATTTGGCAAAAAATGATTTTCAATGAAAAAGTGGTACAATCACATAAACATTGTAGTAAAAAGTACAAAGTAGATTGATCTTTACCTAACTCCCTATATTAGAGGTAGAAACAAAAGGTTTATTTTCCTCCTCTTATGGGATATTGGAAATATTGGACACAACGTGAAGGAAGTAGAGTAACGAAAAATATCCCTATTTTACAAAAAAAGAAAGAAAAAAAGATTTTGACCTAGGCTAAGTCATTTGGTAGGTTCTAGAATTCCCACTTCTGAAATACTTAATAAATATCAAGTTAAATTGCAATTTCTTTCTATTATTTATTGTTAATATAAGCCTGTTCTTGTATTACACAGATTGTCTTTATATGCAAGTTGAAAAAGGCCCTTATGCACTGTAATTGATTGTTATACCATTTATCATTTAATAATCACTTTATCTTTGTGTTTGTTGATATTCTATAGGTCCTGTTGCTGAAGACATGTTCCATTGGCAAGCAACAATTATGGGTCCGCCAGACAGTCCTTATGCAGGAGGGGTTTTTCTTGTTACTATTCATTTCCCTCCCGATTATCCATTTAAACCACCCAAGGTATATTGCCATCTTTAATGGTTTATGCTTGATGTTGGTGTTATAACATGCAAGCAGGAATAAGATTATAATTAACATCTTATTGACCTTAGTGCATGACTCAAGCAAGTTGAGCCTAGGTTACAGTCTGAGCCTTGGATGGGCTTGGTTAAGTTCTAACTTTCAAGTCCTGCTACTTTAAGTGTTTTTAATGGTTTATACTTGATGTTGGTGTTATTAACACACAAACAGGAGTAAGATTATAATTAACATCTTATTGATTAGTGCATGACTCAAGCAAGCTGAGCCTAGGTTACAATCTGAGCTCATCAAGTCTGAACCATGCTTGGATGGGCTTTGTTAGGTTCTAACTTTTAAGTTCTGCTACTTCTAGTGTTATTTATGTGTATGTTATTTAATTAATATATTTAAATGGAATATATTGTAAACTCTTCTATCGTAGCTTCTATAAGTTGTTATTTGTTCGTGTATTTAGATTTATTAAGTTTAACATCTTATATATTATTGTTAATTTTCTTTATGTTTTAATGGAAATTGGTTGTTGACCTTGGTTTGTAGCATGTGCATGTTTCCTGGATATGGGCTTGAATGGGCTTAAGATTTGGCTTGAAACAAATAGCCAAATCTTGCTAAATACTTGGTGATCATAGCCTGAAGTCACAACCTAGGTTCATTGTAGGCCTGAGCCAAGCTTGATAATTTTTTTTTATTTATTTTTTATTTATTTTTATCTCAAGCCAAGCCGGGCAGGACTTGTCCTTTTTTACAGAACTGGCATAATGAAACGAGTCTCAAAGACTTTTGATGAATGATAAGAGTTTATACCTCGAGGATAATGATATTAGGCACAACAGTGAAGGGAGATAGAGTGCCAATGCTTATTAATGATGACAGTGTTAGCACTGTTAGGGAGCAGGAATTAGATTTAGTTGAGGTGGAGTCTAATGAGGAATACCACTTGTCTATAATTAATAAAACATTAGTTACTGGTAGAAAGAAAAAACTACTTGTAGGTGGATTCTTTTCTCAAGGGAGGGGATAAAATTTCGTAGTTTTAAATGTAGGGAGCAAGGAGAGGTTACAGGTAGATTTCTAAAGAGAAGGTTTTGTGTGGAAAAGGGTTGGGAAAATAGGGACATGTTGGGGGTGTTCTTTGTATGAGGTTCTTTGTATCTTCCACTCTTTCCTAGCTGTGCATCTATAATTTTGTGTTTCATTACAATTATTTTGTTTTACAGTTGATATGGTTTTAAGTAGAGCAGATTGGCAAAACAGGATTCATGTAGCCGCCCATGTATTTTTTTTTACTAATATATGGTTTCAACAGTTGATATGGTTTTAAGTAGCTGTGCATGGATTATGATGATTACAATTATTTTATTTACTAATTCTGAAGAAAGTAAAAAATAGCATTACTACCTCCCATGCTCGTGTCTTTGTTTTAAAACTTGATTTTCTTCTAAAAGAGGTAAAAAGGTCAAACATGGGATGCATATATCAATCAATTTATTCTCTCTCTCTCATGCGTGTTATTGTGGGATGGACCATGCAGGTTGCATTCAGGACAAAGGTTTTCCACCCAAATATTAACAGCAATGGCAGTATTTGTCTTGACATATTGAAGGAACAGTGGAGCCCTGCCCTGACTATTTCCAAGGTTCTTGTTCTATTACTTCTGATACACAACCGCTGCTATTTGAAAGCTTATTAAGACCATCCTTTCTATGAAGCCGGGAAGTTCCTAAATAGGGTGCAGAGTTAATCTCTGGGATCAGAAATCAATTCATAAATAACCAATTTTCAGATGGTCATTACTATAAAAGAGAAATTTCAGATGGTCATAACAAAATGGTAAATAGTTATGATTATTTGATCATTTTTCTATGAGATCTAGACAGAAGACATGATGGTAAAAGACACTGCCCTTGCATGGACCTTACTTTGGCATAGTTCTCAAAATTAGGCAAATTTTTTTTTTTCATGTTAATGATAAAAAAATGCCTTGGCTTATGAGTATCTGAAGGAAAACTACCCTTTTAAAGTGGCGCTTTCATACTGGAAGCAGCAACCCTTTGATGCTTGAAGCCTTGAATTTTTTTTATTTTTGGGGGGGGGAGGGGTAGATGCTGTGCTTTCAATTGTACACTGTTTTCCAACTTTTTCAAACTGCCGTTGACCCGGATGGTTGGACTGTTCGGCCTGGGAACCATCCAGGCAACGGTTCCGTTTTACCCAAAACCCAGAATCTGGTAAAAAACTGTTGAAAAAGTCAACAAACTGTTGACCCATTCAACGGGTTCTGGTCGTTTTTTTTTTATTTTTTATTGTTTTTAATTTTGCTGTCAGAATGGGCTCTGTTTGAACCGGATGGTCAGGCCATTGACCCGTAAACCGGTGACCAGAACAGTTCTGTTTCCGGGTTGTTTTTTAAAACGTTGCTGTTTTCATTTATGTAATCAGTGCTTTTGGTCTATCATCAGTCATTTTAAGCTGGTGGAAAGAATTCTTGTTTTCATTTTCAGGTGTTGCTGTCAATCTGTTCCCTGTTGACGGATCCAAACCCTGATGACCCATTGGTGCCGGAAATTGCTCACATGTACAAGACAGACAGGGGCAAGTATGAGTCAACCGCAAGAAGCTGGACTCAGAAGTATGCAATGGGTTAAAATGTGCTGTCAGGTGTTTGTGTGGAGGGCTACTTTCCTTTATTGTGACTTGATCTTTCAGTATTATGTATTAAAGAAGTATGTATGCTTTTCTTGTCCGTTTGTCCGTCCTTGAAACTTTGACCAAAAAGAGGTCCAAATGCTTTCCCTCCATCAAATAACAGCTAGATTTGATTGTTTCCATGGGGATTTCATCTTTAAACATTTTAGGATGTAAAAAAGTTAAAATGTTTCCTTGTCTGGCCAAAATGGACTTTTCTCCTAATCCTATTCCTACCGTTCATCGGATTATGTTATAGTTCTTTTTGTTTTTGTTTTTAATAACAAAATCGCACATCCTATATAGTTGAATCTTTGTTTTGATGGCATCACAGGCATAACTAGGCACACCAGTGTCCTCTAAAGGTTATACCCAAGGATTAAAATGTTGATATTATACTGCCAAGATTGGTTTTGTAATCGTATTGCCAATAGATGTATCATATAGGTTTTGAAAGATATTGGAAACGGAGGACAATGTTTAAAGATGTATCATGATATGATTCACATGGATACGTTAGGCAAAATTCATATAAATTCTAAAATATTATAACAATAATTTGTAGATGACTATAAAAACAAGCTATATGCATACAATAAAACGACTTGAATGGTTTATGTGAAGTTTGAACTTTTGGGGCATTTGATAATGCAGAAAATTTATGAACTATCTGAGCATATATTAAAACTTGAATTCTCTGCTGGAATGAACCTTCTAAACATACCAAGTTATCAACTGAGTGGAATGACATGATCACCATCGTATTGATGTTCAGTTGATATGCCCATAGTATTGCTCCATATTGACCATGATACCATGAGAACATTGACCGTTACGGTCCATATTGGCTGATGATGCCCCGAGAACATTGACCGTTACTATGGATACCGGTTGATAATTTGGGTTTTGGCAATTCCACCGTGCCATGTATTTTTTTTAAAAATTTTTTTGCAAGTTATTTTAGAAAGATCTTCCAATAGTTTAAATGGCCAAAAGCATGGTCTTCAAAACCGGATCGAACCGGAAAAATTGAGAACCGGTCAAGTGATCGGTTCCGTTTTTCCCTAAAATCGGATTTTTTTAAAAAACCGTTGATGTTGGTCAACAAACCACTGACCCGGTTGGTTAATCGTTCGAATGTGTTGACCGTTTTTTATTTTTTTATTTTTTTGTCAGAACGGGCTGACCATTCGGTTCGAATGGTCAGACCGTTCGAACTGGGAATCAGACCCCTGATGAGTTCGTTCTTTGGATTGGTTTTAAAAACCTTGACCAAAAGACCATTGGGCTTTTGGAGTCTTGTTTTTAAAGATCAAGACCGTTTAATAAGTGGTTCAGTCTACTAAGCTTCTAAAAATGCATTTAAAGGGTATTCATCGCATGATAAGACTCAAAAGCTTCATTTGAGTAGTTGATTACTTGGCAAATCTTGGAATTGAAAGTGGGGTTCTCAGTAATTACCAATTCCTAATGAGCCATTCTCTTCCACTATATTCCACCAGCCTAGAGAGAGTAGTAATGTGGCCAATCCAGACAAAACAGCTTTTGCTACGAAAACCACGAAATCAAAACCTTCGATGCATTGTTATGCCCCTAGATGAAGTGATGCAGCACTAAATCAAAGGCCATTCAAGTCCTGTGCTAAAATCATGTCGTAGCAAAAGTGAGCTCCAATTACAAAAGAAACAAAAACAAATGAGTGCCGATGTGCAAAGTTATGTACCCTTTTTAATAAATTTAACTTATAAAAGAATATTAATGAAGATGGATTTATTATTTCATGGGCGAGGCTGAGGTTTGGGTTTGACTTTTGCCAAAATTTGAATGGGCCTGACCCGAAGTCCGAGTTCAACAGTATAAAGTCAGGCCTGAAGCCCAGCCTGTGAACAGGTCCATGGATGATAGGCACTGTTTTTGGGCCAAAGTCTTGGTACTCGGAGAACATGACCTGTTCTGTAATCAGGCCGACATGGGCCTAGCCCATATTTTAGCCCGAGTTGCAGAATTCGTTCCTTTTACAAAAGAGTCATACTTTTTATGCTGTTTTTGGTTTGATAGAGACTAAGTAGGTGTTTGGCATCGGTGCTGGGAACACTGCACCTTTTTTTCATAAAAATGTTTTTTATGAAACTGGGTACTGGGGACTTGCAATGTGGGGTACTAAATAAGAGACTGTTTTCTGAAGCACCACTTTTTCTAATGTGACACCTACATGGCGCCATTTTCTCAAAAAACAGTATTGATGCCAAACACTCAGTAAGAGAGTAATAGAAAGTTGAGAGAATGTTCTTACTTCTTAGGAAGCTTTCTTTTTCTCCCAACTTTATGTTTCCTTCACAACTTTCTCTCAACTTTCTATTTCTCTCTTATTAGTATCTATCAAACCAAATATGGTTTTCATGCCTATAAGCTTCTGATAACAAGAGAAAAATGCATTTTTCTTGAAATTTAAAAAGAAAGCTCAAACTCCACCTTGCACCACAGACAAGCAGCAACAAAAAAACAGAAGTGAACCAAAAATTGCCTTCTTATACATTGTCACCAGTGCAAATCAAATTGCACTAGCCCAACCAACAGAGATCCAATCCAACGTCCACACGTTGGCATTCAACAATAACTCAACCCAACTGACTCAGAAGATTCAATCTCTAGACCAAAACTAACCTAACCTAGCTACAACCCTGCTGGCTTTGAGAAGCCAATCCTACTTTGTCTGTTTTTTTAGTAGTAGGTTGAGCCCCCCATTCAAGTTGCAGCCTACCAAAAATCCTGCAAACCATCTGTCTGTCTTGTCCTTTCTTCCCTTCACGTTTTTCGTTACATGAGAGACACAGAGAGACTGCAGAAGAATAGAAGAAGAAAAGGAAAGAAAAAGGTAGTCTGCTCTGCTCTATTGGTCTCCATCATCTGCGCGATTAGTTATGAAATATGAATTGATTCTCACAACAACAGTCTTTTCAAAGCTTAATTGTGTGTTATGCAGAGGTGCAATAGTATACGTCCAAGCTGCTAAAAACTTTCCATATTTTATTTATTTATTTAAATGGAGTCAACTCCAAAATATAACAAAATCCATGTTTTGAGCCTTTTCATACCAAAATAAACTAATAATATTCATCTCATTACCTCTAAAACAAAATGAATAATCAAAGAATAAGGACAAATTCTAATTAGTGCTTCTTCTGTAGGCTCTATTACACCATTACAATATGACATGGCTTAATTTATTGGGGTCAATGGTCAAACATCTGGAGGACATATCACACATGTCAATTCATTCATCTATTTATTAAATAAAATTAATGCAAGATATCTGTCCATTAGTTGTGGAATTGAGTCTCAAACTCAATCCTCAAGCCCAGTGATACATCATCCATGAATGAAACGAATCGTCTCTTCTTAATTTATTTCATGCTTGAAGCTCTAACAAACAAACAAGTTTAGGTGGCCCTGGAACAGTACTGTATTTGTCTATTTATTATATTAATTTACTCACTTGGGTCTCATATTATGCCACCTTTATTAATTTATTTATATTTATGTGATTGATCATGAGTATGAGTTGGATCACTTCACCTGTATTTCAGATACTCTCTCCAAGACTGAAACCAAAGGCCAGAGGACCAGCCGATATGGTGATGTTTTAGTGGGTTTTATATAATATTAATGTTTTTGTTTTCATTTGTTTTTTTGATTGCTACATCAGCAAAAATTAATAAAATAAATGAAAAGATATTCTTGAGTTATGTTTTTGTTTTAAAATATAAAAATAAGTTGGTTTTGTTTTCCGATACATATTTTTGAAATCATCAAAATTATGGTTTTTAAAATAGAAACAAATTTTGTAAAGTAGAAATCATATGATTTATGGAGCATGAAATCGAATAATCAGATGAAAACTTTGCTTTTGATTTCAATTCGAAAACAAAAGACATATACACAACCAACCATGAGCATGTTTTTTATGTTTTTTTTGTTTTGTAAACCAAATGATTTAGATTTATTTTTGGAATTGACAATAAAAAAACACAATTCATGCTGTAGAATGGCCCCCTTAGCTTTAGGTTGTGTTTGGTATTATTGTCACTTCTACTTACGATATTTTAGGTTGATCAATACAAATTTTAAGAAAATATTTTGTTTTTCTACTACAAATGCTTTGATACCATTGCAATTGCAAAGGTTAAATTTAGTGTTTCTATTATAAATGTCAACACCTAATCCAATGTCTATAAGAATTAATTATCTGATGTGATGTGATAATACCATTTCTCAAAAAATTGTATTAACCAACCTATAAGGATGCAAGTAGAAGTGACAATAATACCAAACACAACCTTAATTGCCAAAAGTGACAATAATACCAAACACGACCTTAATTGCCAATAAAAATTGACAAATAGAAGTTATCTGCACCAATCTTACTTCACACCTTATATCAGTGCCAAGAGACCAAGACCTGGTCCCGGAAAACAAGGCTTCCAGGCCCTAAAATAATCGGTTTTAGTGTAAATGTGGAGGGCTTGTCTCTATTGAAGACAGGATTGAGAAAAACAAGCTGACCTCCTCCACTCAACTATCCTACTGGATTATGACGTGGCCATCCTTTTTCCTTTCACATTGACTAACATATAACACTTACTAACTTTAATCTTTTTTCATTATCCTTTCCTCCTCCTTCTTCTTGATTGAGTGAGATAGTAGCAATTTGACGTTTGATCACGTAATGCGACACAAAACATGGATGCATTAAAAGCAAAAAATTAAAATAAAAAATTGAACAACAGTGTTTCTATTTATTTATTATTTAAATTTTCAGTGGATCAATATTCAGAAATGGGATTTGCTCAAATAACTGTCCCTACAACCCAAAGGAAAAGGACAAATGATGTTAAGGCTTGTCAACAGTTTCTTTTTATTTATTTATTCTGGGTATTGAAAGATTAAGAAAAGTTCTCCACATATCAGGTAATATATCAACACAGCAACTGGATTAGACCAAAACTAATTCAATTGATTAAACGGTTATGATTGTTTAAAGCCAATATGGTGTGATATAGATTATCCACCAGTAGGAGTCGAAGAATATTATAGGCATCATCTTCAATCATAGTTTTTAAAATCGGATCAGATTAGAAAAATTGGGGATTGATTAGGTGATTTATTTTGTTTTATCTTAGAATCATCATTTTGTCAAAAATTGTTGATTTGATCAATAAATCATT